AAGGCCTCACTGGCAAAGCTAAGTAGAGACCAGGTGGCCTCTTTCCTTACTAAAGCATAAACTTCTGATTCATTAAAGAATAAGGATCTGCCAGTGAATTAACGTTTATTTTTAAATGTGCAGCCTTTTCCTCTGTAAGTGTAATAGTGAAATAAGCACTTTGCATGCATTGCCCTCATTTATGTTTATTTTTGTAATGTCTGTTGTCTTCATTATTTCCGTGTCTGGGACCTTCAGGAAACTTAGAATGTCTGTGAGCCTGTGCACTAGCTCAGCCATCTGAATCGATCTGGGATTGTCAGCCTCAGGACTTCATTTTCTGGGTGTGTGGACCGAAGTATTGATTTTCAAATTTTTATGCTTAAAATAGCTCCCAGTTCTCCAGTGAATATTATCCATTATCATCATTTTAGATGTACATTTGTTAGCCTTTTTTCTTCCTTTCCTCACTCTAGACTGTAAGTTTCATAAAGTTGGCAACCATATCTATGTGTTCACACTGTATATTCTATGCCTTGTGCAGCGTTTAGCATATAATAATGGTAAGTAGTGGAATGAATAAATGGGTACATATACAAATACTTCCATTGTGTGAGTGGTAACTCTTACTGGTCTTAGCCTTGAGAATGATATTGAAAGATTTTTAGTAAAAATTTTCATGTTTTCTAATTTGAGAGTTACATTGGAGAGACATTTATTCCACTTAAATATACTTCCACGTAAATATGCATTCAGTTGTGCGTGTGTGTGCACGTGTGCACGTTTCTATTTTATTTAGGAGAGCTCCCCCTCTTCCTGACGTGAGGCCAGCAGGAAGGTTGCACATCTGTCCAGCTAAGGATAAGATGCACTTGGAGACCAGGATGCGAGATGAGGGGATGGACCTGCAGGTTCGGCACAGGCTGCTTGCTCCACACTAAAAAGAGCATCTTCTGCAGTCATAAGTGGCAGCTATTTGGCCCTTAGAAAAATCTCATGTGTAACAGCAACTTGCAGGCAGTGTGTTCTCCAAAGGGGGCATCCAGCTCTGAACCTATCACTGAAAGAGAAATTCCATTGTCTATTAATCCTACTGGAACTAAAGATGAATAGTGGATTGGCCTTGATCTGACAGTGAGTTTGACTTTGATAGCTCATCACTTTAAAAGGTTCTTTTATATTTATGAAAAAAGCATGACGTCAAGCCAGGGGGGGAATTTATATCAATATTTAAGACCAAACTTGTAGGGCTTCCAAAAATAAAAAACAACAACCCTTGTGTGAGCGGGTTTTTTACATGCATAACTAATTAGCTTAGGTTATTATAAGCGGGGCTGCTGTGACAAAGTTTCCGGTGGTGTCTCGGGACACCTTGTTTATAGTGCCTTCCTTGCCAGTCAGCCTTCAGTTGGAATTACAGAGAGTAGAGGGAGTGAGTAGCCTGCCGCTTCTCGTTGGATTGGGGCCACCTAACGCTGTTATGCTGGAAATGCTAGAATATAATCACTTCCAGGTGAGCTGTACCCTTTTTTCTACCCAGCCGCTGAAATGTAGTTGCAATAGATTGCGTAAGTCACCTTTTCATGTTCTTGCAGTGGACATGCTGTTTTCCATAAGTATAATTATTGAAATAATTGTAGTTTGATGCTATCTATTGTAAGAAGTAATTCAATTTTATTTTTAAACAAAGTATTAGTAGGACTTTTCCCCTAGTGCATGGCTGTGCTCTTTCCATCAGCTCCTGTGCTTAGCTCATGAGATTAAATTGTTTTATCAAGGAAAGGTGACTCTAGGTTGAGTATCATTGATTTTAAAAAAGCATTTGTAATTCTGTATTAATGTTTATGAGAACTAAGAAAGGAGGAAAAATATCTTGGTGGCTTAATATTATGCTTTTAAAACACGTGTAAGTGCTAAAGCTTCCAGAGAAGCTGCTTAACGTGTAGTTGCCTTTTCGGTTGAGTCCACGATCTTAATCACGAAGTGGAATAATTGTGTGTAGATGACGGGAGGAAGGAGTCCGCACAGCCGATTTAGTCATCAGAATGCGTCTATTTTCTATAACTGTTTTACAGGTGTTTCTCGTGGAGTTTGTTTTTTTAAAAACAAAAAGCTGTTCTGTGTGCCAAGGAAAGTGAAACCGGGTTATGCCCCTTCTTCTAGATTACTGTTTTGCTCTTAATAAACCCTTTCAGGTGTGTCGGGGACATTTTTGCCCTACAAACAGTTGTGTATTTTAGACATGAGAAGGAAGGGCCGAGGTTTTAAAAGGATGTACCTCTCATTAGCAGGGAAATAAAACAGGGCAACGGATGAGCCCAAATCCGAAGAGTTAGATTTTGAATGAATTTCAGTCATATTAAATCCCGTGAGCACAGTGCCTGGTGCCCAGCAGGGACTAATCTCTCATCCTCTCGGTGGGCTGGCACGTCTCATGTCTGTGCCTAAAACAAGAGCTGTGCGAACTCACAAATAACAGCACTGTCTTCTCTTCCCTCCGTGGCTATGTTCAGGTGCAGACCCACCTCGAAAACCCCACCAAGTACCACATACAGCAAGCCCAGAGGCAGCAGGTAAAGCAGTACCTTTCTACCACTTTAGCAAATAAACATGCCAACCAAGTCCTGAGCTTGCCATGTCCACACCAGCCTGGCGACCATGTCATGCCACCGGTGCCGGGGAGCAGCGCACCCAACAGCCCCATGGCCATGCTCACACTTAACTCCAACTGTGAAAAAGAGGTAATTCACGTCTCCTCCCCTCTCCTGTTTCTTACACTAAATGACTGTCTTTTGGATATTTTTCCTGCACTTGACTGTGGCCTGTAGTCTGTCCGTGCGGCTAGTTCACTGCCTTGTCCCAGATTATCCAGCAGGGCTGTGCCCCCAGCCTCTCCCCGGCGTCACTGGGTCATTGGGTGGCGGCGCAGGACGGAGACCTGGCCGCTCTCCCTCTCCGGCCTCCGCTCCGCAGCTCAGCGTCCCTCTCTTCAGTGCCTTTCCGTTTACAGAGCAGTGAAAATGCAGAGAGCGGGGAGGGGAGGTGGAAAAGGGAGAGCAAAAATAGACAAGGTGTGGGACAGGCGGGCTAGAAGTTCCGCTGGTTGTGAGTTTTTACTTCTCCCCAAGTGGAAAAAAGTACAGAATGTGTGTGGATGGATTTGGAGAATATAGCACATGAGAACCTGACAGAAAGGCGAGTGTCTAATTGCTGGGTAAATTCAGTTTTATCATGAAAGTGCTGCTGCCCATGAAACCTGCTTTTGTAAAGGCTGGTTGGAGACAAGACTCGAACACACCTAACGCTAACCGTGGCATCGGAGTCTGATGCATAAGCCCCCGAGAGGAGAGCTGTGATTTAAGGCCTGCCATTCCCAAATTATGGGGTGATGAGCCTCGTTTTAATAGAGTTTCACTGTGCTCTGAAATGTGCAGGATTTCAGAGCTGACTTTGAAGTTTGCTTGATTTTAATTTCTAAAGGCACCAAGTCTTTTCTCCTCTGCCCAAACCAGCTGTCCTATTTTTCTCTCCCGTGTCTGTCATCTGTCAGGCTGATTTGACGGAAGTTCTGTTTTCATTACTTCATTTCTCACTCTGATTCTACTTTGTTTGAAAGCTTAGTTCATCTTGTGCTGCACGTCAGCCTCGTGTGAACATGTCGTTGAAGAGGCATTTGCAAACCCAAGTCACGGGCTGATTTTGCTTGTGTTTTTGCAGGGATTTTATAAGTTTGAAGAGCAAAACAGGGCGGAGAGTGAATGCCCAACAATGACCACGCAGTCCCGAGCGTCCTGCATGCAGGTACTGGATGGCTCGGCGCCAGACGGAGCTCTGGGGAGTGAGAATCGGAATTGGTGGCTTATCACGCCTTCCTCATGACTTAAGGGCCCCCTCGAATTGATTTTGTTTATTTGTTTTATTTATTTATTATGTCTTATGCCTTTTGTTTCAGTATGAACTCATACTCCATCGTATTCCATTTTGCTTCACTCTCTGGGCACTCACACGTGCGCTTACATTTTGCCAAGACTTTCCTTCTCTCTCTTGGATGTAGTGACAAGACACACACCACATGTCATGTTTGGGACTGTTTGCCTGACCCTAGAAGTAACCACTTTACCTTGTATTCAGTCACTTTGCCTAATTTATACTTTTATTGAACGATTCCACAAATCATGGCCCAAGGATACTAGTTCTGTAGACTACTAACAACTGTTATTGCAAGTGGAAAAGGGAGTAGGGAATATACTATTGTCCAAAAAAAAAGAAATTTTGTATTAAATAAAATTAAACAGGTTTTTGTTTGTTTTTTCTACAGGAATAGTGAGAGCCTCTTCAGTTCTCATGTTTACTGCTAATCTTCAGGAGTAGACTATATAATAGATAGTCTTTCCCATTTTTCTCACAATGCTGAACACCCCATGGGACACAAGTATTCTATTAACTGTAGTTTGTGAAAACAGTTCTGTTATTTTACTCATTATGATGAGAAGTGCCTTGGAGCCTCTGGGCTTCCAGAGGTCAGGGTCTTTGTACTCTTATCACCTGTTACTCTTCATCTAGAAAGAGTGAATTTTCTTTTAATTCACTTATTGATTTAGTTTTAAAGATAGAAAGCTATAAACAGACCCATTTTTCTCATAGTATCTCATGATTAAATAATTACTAAGGAAATTAAAATGCATTTTCTCTAAGTTGCTTTAAGTAATTAAATAGTACTTACAATACGTAAATTTTAATAAAATTAAAATGTTGTAATTCATTTAGATACCATCATCAGAGTACGTTACACAAATTTGTAGGGTAGCAATTTTGATAGGCTGTTATTAGTAAAGCCAAGGTATGTGTGTTATCTCTATATTGTTTTATAAAATGGAATCTTATGGAACATACATTCTGAAACTGTTAATTTAATAATATTTCATGGATGTTTTCCCAAGTAATTACAGGTTCTATGACCTTCTACTTAGTGGATATATAAATTATACTACATTCACTTATTAATATAGTTATATATTTAAAATGTATGTATAGAAGAGAAAGAAAAATAAGCCACAAAATATTTTGCTTTTTTATGTTTTCTATTATCAACTTGCATTACTTTTTTTTTAAAATATATCTTTATTGATTTCAGAGAGAGGAAAGGAGAGGGAGAGAGAGAGAGAAACATCAATGATGAGAGAGTCATTGATTGAGCCCGCAACCAGGGCATGTTCCCTGACCAGGAATCGAACCCCAATCGCCTGGATCCTAGGTTGACGCTCAACCGCTGAGCCACGCCTGGCCGGGCTTGCATTACTTTTTTCATAAAAGAAAATTATTTTAAAAATTTTATCACACCAGGTCCTCTAATTTTTATAGTGAAAATAAAAATAAAAAATTTACAAAGAAAGGTTGTGAGTCCCTTGGCCCATTTTCCTGTTAACCAGCTAAATTAGAAACTTCTCTCTTAAAAACAAACAAAACAAAACTGGCATACCTAGCGATGGAACTTAATAAACAGTATGCTGGCAATTATTCAATACTGACCCCCAATTACTCTTCTCAGGGGTCATGGAATAACACTTATTTTTTGAATGTTTACTATATTCCTGGCACTGTGGGCACTTTATATGGTTTATCCTGAAATCTTGCAAGAATCCAGTAAGGCAGTGAGTATCATTAACCCATTTTACAGATCAGCCCGCTGAAGCAGTAAAAACTCGGGGCTTTGCCTCCAGGGCAGGAAGTGGGAGAATGAAGGTTCCAATAAGTCCCGTGACATTGTAGCCTGTCCTCTCTACTTGGAAGCAGCAAAAAAAAAAAAGACTCAAAGGAGCATGCCCCGACTTCTGAGATTCTGTCCTGTGCTTACAAAGCCCTCTTAAGATCCTAGTGTGTGAGGCATGCTCGCGCACACGCAGACACACACACACAGCCAGCTCAAACACATATGGGGTTTATGAAGAAATGTTTTCACAGACTTGCCTTTGCAGCGCTGCAGTGCGCCTGCAGTCACCTTTGTTTACGTTCGTAGCTGATGCTCTGGTGCGCTAGGAATAGGATTACCTAGTGGGACCGTCAGCCTGGCTGTAAGGATAGCCTCGTCCTGCTGAAGTCCTGGGGGAGCACCGGGCGCACCGGCCGCTGTACAAGGAGAAACACTGTACAAGTCACTAGGCTCGGCGCAGGCCTCGCCACTGCCTCCCACTGCAGGGAGGTCCTGGGAAGGGTATGGGGTATAGTCTTTGGCGAAAAAGGAAATGGCAGCGACGCTTCAGGGGAGGCTTCCTGCTTCAGCGTGCCTGTTGAGGGCCGCTGTTTACCAAAGCAGCTGAGAGCATGGGTTCCACTTGGGACTCTCAGCCTTGGATGTGCGGCTTTGGGACAACTGCTTCTCATTCATCCCACTTGGAAAACAGATATGATAATAGCACCTACCTCTTTTGGGTTACTGTCGAAGGTAAATCTTGGCCAGTGAAAAGCCCTGAGCACAGGGCCTGGCACCTGCCAGTCACTCACCTGGGGCTGGTGCAGATGCCATCCTTGTCACCTGGGAGTGTGCGTGGGCTTCAGTAATGTCCACATTTTGGGAGAAAGACAGTTCTTAGAATCTAGCTCAAGAGCAGTATTGCTTTGGGTAAGAAAAGACCTTGGATCTCATTTTGGGTTGCTTTGCATAGTTTTTGCTCATCTCTCTCTCTTCCATTGACCTTTTTCCTGCAGATGGATGATGTTATCGATGACATCATTAGCCTAGAATCAAGTTATAACGAAGAAATCCTGAGCTTGATGGATCCTGCCTTGCAAATGGCAAATACGGTATTGATGACTTTTTTTAAAGAAAATCTTGAGCTATTTTCTGTGTTCTCTCCCTTTCTCTGAACTTTTAGTTTATCTTTGCAAGTGATTCATCAAGAAGTTTATTAACCACAAAACAGAGAAATATCTCAGGATCACAAATAAGTGACTTGGACATCAACAGTTAAGGATTTCTCCTGAGTTTACAAAGCTCCACATTTCCTGGAGTCCAAGTCCACTTCCCGTAGGACGTAGGCCTTCCAGTCTCCCTGACGTCCCTGTCCAGCTCAGTGCGCCACTGCAAAGGGCACCCCTGTGCAGGGCTATGCCCAGCAGTGATCTGGTCGCCAGAAGAAGAATGCAGCCTTTAAGGCCGTATCTTACTATTCACAAGGAACAGTCAGCTACCCATCAGCAGCGGAATGTATCCCAATTTTAGTAAAGACAGTGAGACCATTTGCTTTTATATGTTACTTCTCTCTATAATTTGGAGCCTGGCCTGTATTGTTCATTGTATTTCACTCCTTACATTTGTGTCTTATGTTACTGGTTTTCCAGTCTCATTGCAGATTTTTTTAGTCCTTGGCAGTCGTTCTGTAAGTTTTGTGAGTCAAGTCAGGGTGGTATCATTGCCGCTGTCTTAGATTGGAAAGGTCAGCTAGTCTTGCACAAGATTACCTGGCCTAGGCATGTCAGACTATGGCTCCTCGGTAGGCCTTTGTACACCCAGCCAATCCTGTCTGTTTTCTGTGAGAGCAATGCCATGAGTTATCGCCTTCCTTAATCACTGGTGTGTAAAAGATGGACTTCCACAGGGTGACGGGAAGTCATTGGCTAATGGGTATAGAGTTTCAGATTTGCAAGATGAAAAAGTTCTGGAGATCTGTTTCACAGCAATGCACATACACTTAACACTACTGAACTATACACTTAAAAATGATTAAGACAGTATATTTTTTTACTACAGTAAAAAAATGTTTAAAGACTAAATTCCTAGAATAAGTTTTCTTGGCCAGGGAACATGATAACCCTTAATAATTTACACCTAAATTGTTAGTAAGCTAAATTTTTATAGTTAGTACTTTCTTTCAAGTTTGCTTACCTGAAGTCTGGAGGGGTGAGGACACCCCTTGAAACCTCAGGCTTCTTCTAGGATCTATAGTTTTTATCAACCCCCTACCCACTTAAATTCATTCACCCCCTGATTTTGAAATAACTAAATGTTCTGCCATCCTGACAAATGTTTCTATACCAAACTCTCCCCATCCTCTGTGAGCCCTCGGTTGGCTTCGTGTTCCCCTTCCATTTCCAACTTTGTGCCCCTGTGTGCAGGCAACACTTGTCAGCAGTCAAAATCCCAGGTGAGCATGAGCAAAACATGTGGGGGAGCTTGCCCTCGAGAATTCATAGATAGACCAAAAGACGTGGGTATATTTCCAGCATTTTCAACGCCCAGCAGTGTTAATTAGCCATGGCCCAGTCGTCCCAGAAGAACTGTACTAGTGAGGGTGGCCCCTTTGCCAGTGGTATCGAGTGGATGCCTGGGCCCATTCAGGAGGACTGTAGAGTTTATATAATTTTTAAAAATCATTGCTTTTGTTTTTCTCCAAGGGTGAGGACCTTTGAAGTCATCTGAGCTACCCTAGTACTCGTTGCATTGGCCTCCTCTTGCATATCCTCTGTGTCCCCACCAGGAAATCAGTCATCCAGCTTCTTAAAGCCTCGGGTGAAGGGGATGCACTAACTCACCGGAGAAGCAGTAAAGCACAGTGGTTAGGAGCTGGAGATTCGTGGTCAGACCTGGGTTCTAATCCTAAGTCTGCCATTTACGGTGTGACTTTCATGTTACTTAGCTTCCTGGAGTCCTGCATTTCCCCATCTGTCAAGTGGGACTGACAGTTGTACCTCCCTCACATGGTCATCCCATAAAGTATGTATAGCATTTAGCATTGACGTAAGTTGTACTCAGCAGTATCTAATTTTTAAGTGTAACTTATTATCATATAAATAATTGTGATAGTATTTTATTCAGGTTGTATTTATTGAGCAGCTGTGCTGTGTCCAGCTGTATGTTAGAATAACATCATAATTATTCAGCGGTCCTCGCAGTCTCTCTGGGAATTCCAGACGTGGGCCATAGTTTACCTCATGGAGAACTTGCCCTGTGACGACACCTTTGAAGACAGTCATCATGACCACAGTTGCTCCTCTCCTTTAGACGAAATCTGTGTCTCCTCAGTCCATCTGCATTAGAGTAGACATGGTGTTCCCTCACGGCCTGACTGCTCCTGAAGTAAAGTTAAGATTGACGTAGCATTTACTAAATGCCAAATGACCAACCAGCCCCGGGGGAGGCGCGGGGGCTGCTCCCTCTGAGAATGGGGCTCGCCCGCTGGACGGGGCGCCCACACAGACCTTGAAATGAGAAGGATAAGGTAGGAGCAGGGGGGCCAGCTCAGCGGAGGTCCCAGATGGGCAATGCCCTGGGCAAAGCTGAATAATTCCCAGCCAGGAGAGAAATAGTCGCCACCCAAAGCCACTACTTTGTCCCGGTGTTCATTTCTCTTCTATATTCCCACCTGAAAAAGGCCAAATCTGGCCCCAGTGGAGCCCTCCCACAAGAAAGCTATTTCAGCATTTTGCTATTAGGGCTAAGACAGTAGATCCTAGAGTCTAGGAACACAGACTCTGAGCCACACCTCTGAACTCAACACATACTCCTGAGCGAGTCATTTGTCCTCTTGGCCTCACTTTTCTAGTCTGGAAAGTGGGAATAGTAACAGCATCTAAACAGTAGAATCCCTGGGAGAATTACAACAGTTCATGTGCAGAAAGGCACGCAGAACAATTCTGGCCCCGGTATGCTGTCACTAAGTGTTAGTTAAGCTCTTATTCCTGATAAATTTGGGTTTGGGTTTTCAAAATTAAATAACAAAGCTACTACAACTTACTAATATTTTAATTTTTTCCACAGTAAAGTTTAAAGAGTGTTTTTCATGTTACGCATTTTCCCCTTTTATTTGATCCTTTGAAATCTTTGTTTCAAGTTATCTTTTTAAAAAAAATGGAAGGAACACTTAGAGAGGAAACTGTCCTTAGGGAATTGGGGTCTAGAAATAACTCTTCTGAGAGCACAAGGGCCTCTTGTGGCATCAGAAACAAAGAATAAAAGTCCCAATTTGCTTGTGCTAACAGTGCCCAATTGATACTCAGAGAAGGGACTATCCAGAGGGAAAATATTTTACAATGATCATTTACTTGGAAAAGTAATCATTTTTGGTGGATCAGAATATTGGACAACTCGATCCAGACCAAGTTTGGGTCACACCCCACTGAGTCCTTCTCCTGTTTGACCATGGCTTTCTTCTGTCCATGGTCTTCTGGAAGCTAGGTCTTGTCCACTGGGGTCATGTGCTGGATAAAAACCCAGCAAGGACACAGCTTCCTGTCAACAGAAGATGCATCTTCTTTCTTAGCTTTAAAAGTGCTATTTTGACCTAATTTTGATGTTAACAGTGTTTATGAGGGAGTTTTTCTAATCCAGAAGAGGAACCACAGAATCCTTTCTTAAATATGCATGGCTAGGAGACTAATTTTTAATTAGAAAGCCATACTATTTTAATCAGCCTTCCTGTTGATAGTCTCAATGAATTACAGCCATTAATACAAAGTACATACACCACCATTTAGGGCAGGATCTCTTGGCATTGGCACTGTTGACATTTGAGATGGATAATTCTGTGCTGAGGGCCTGTCCTGTGCACTGTACAACGTTTAGCAGCAACACTGACACATGTCCCCTGGAGGGAGAAACACTGATTCAGGATATGAGTGAGTACCAGCCCTGCAGACCTGAGTCCTGTGTTGAGATGTGCACTATGTTTAGTTGTGCACTGTGTTTAGGTGATGTGCACTGTGTTTAGTTGTGCACTGTGTTTAGATGATGTGCACTGTGTTTTAGATGATGTGCAATGTGTTTAGTTGTGCACTGTGTTTAGATGATGTGCACTGTGTTTAGATGATGTGCACTGTGTTTAGTTGTGCACTGTGTTTAGATG